CTATTTCGTGCCTGTGAGGGATGATGTGGGACGGGTTCTTTTGTATATGGGTTGGTGGGGAGGTGCGCGGTGGTGGGTTTTACTCTGTGGTGTTCAGCCACATATTCCTATAAGCACCCAAATGGCCGAGTAGGTAAATGCGTTGACTAAATGCGCACGAGAAGTGCGAGCAGTTAGGGCAAGGGCGACGAGTGTAGGTTGTCCATCTTGGTGCTGGTTCGCGGTCTTAGTGCGGCGGATTCGCAAACGACCGACCGCACTGTTGCGTAATTTGAAGGTTATAGTGTAAACGGCAATTAAACAACGAAGAAAATAGACACAGGAAAAAGTTAACTATAAGTGGTGGACGACGTGTTTCTTATGGGGAAAATAACACAGCAAAAGGAGAGTACAGGAGGAACGGAAAAAGGTAAATAATTGTACAGAAAGGTACAGGTGTACAAGTAGGTTTAAGGTGAAAAATGGAAAACTTACGTAAAAGTTCACTAGGGCGTTTTTTGTACAAAAAATTTCGATAAAACTGCAAACAGTTACACCACAAAGTCTTCGAGTTTGGCAGGAAAATGGATATGTCTGCCGGAGCGAGATGAGGTGCGTGGTGGAGTAGAAGGAGAATCAGGATCGGTGGGTGGGTGAAGTGGTCGAATATGATGGTTGAGTGGAGGGGACTGAAACGGCTGGATCGGGTGAGGACGGTGCAAAGGAAGTGGATGGCACAACAGATGGCTGGATGCATTCAAGGTAGGCTGTCTTAAGTCTGTCAATGGAGACTGTGTCGATTTTGTCAGCCTTCTATATGACGTAATACTTGTCCATCCGCCGAAGAACCATACATGGGCCATCATACGGGGAACAAAGAGGCTTGCGAACTGTGTCATGCCGGACGAAAACGAATGGAGTGGATTTAGGGTTCTCATGCACAAACGCACGTTTGGATGTCAGACGAGTAGGGGTTGGACGCAGTTGAGCCGTGCATTGTTTCAACAACTGTACGAAGGTGCTCGGGACGTTGGTGCTCGTCATGGAAGACTGCACGAATTCGCCGGGCAGACGGAGGAGTGTACCGTACACAAGTTCGGCGGCGGTGCATTGGATGTCCTCCTTGACAGAAGACCGTATGCGCAAAAGCACAAGAGGGAGATTGTCACTCCAAGAATTTGGTTCTGAATGGGACATTAGCGCAGACTTGAGCTGACGGTGTAAACGCTCCACGAGGCCGTTGGAGGCCGAGTGAAACGCTGTGGTTGTGATGTGCGTGCACCCGAGTAGTCTAGTGAACTCACGGAAAAGGCTGGATTGAAATTTGTTTCCGCTGTCAGTGATAATGGTGACTGGCACACCGAAAGTTGAAGTCCAGTGCTTTAGGAAAAGTATAGCAATATTTTCTGCCGAGGTATCCGAGATGGGAACGGCAATTGGCCATCGCGTGAAACGGTCAGCTGCTGTCAGAATATGCGTGTACCCGCGTGAAGGGTGTTGCGAACCAAATAAATCCAAGTGAATGTGGTGGAATCGAACATCTGGAACGGCGATTGTACTTGGTAGAAAAAATATATGGCTGTATACTTCATTTTTCTGGCAGGCTAAACAATTCTCAGCCCGACGAACAATGTCAGAGTTTATCTTCGGCAACATAAAAGGAGCGACAATTAGCTTATGATAAACGCGGATGCCAGGATGTGACAGGGAATAGAAGTGGTCAAACACTGCCTTGCGGTAGGTTAGTGGAACAACAGGTCGAGGAGTACCTGGGGATCAGTCACACAAGATCGTACCTAGTGATGCGGGAAGTGGTGCATCTCGAAGTTTCAGCGTGGTAGATGTACGCAGGTCCTTAATGGACTTGCCGCCTGATTGGAGGTCTGCAAGCTTCGCCAGGCCAAAATCGGATGTAAGTGTGTCGATGTACGGACGGGATAATGCATCAGCACCGAAATTATCGCTGCGTCTGACGTGGGGGATATCTGGGGTAAACTGCGATATGACAGTTCGACCATCGGTTTCGATGATGTCCACCGTGTGCCCCACAGTTGCAGCAGCAATGGGAGCAGGGACGGTGACTTACGCAGGGGTTTATAGTGCCGGTAGACTTGCGTAGCATCTACCTACACTCTCTCCTCCTCCCTCGCCCGAGCCCGATGTCAAGACAGAGTCAAGAAGACCGGAGACGAGAGAGGCCGCAGGTGGATGGCTCGGACGGATCCTCACCTTGGCGTTCCACCACACCCCCTGGCCCATACAACAAATAACCAGGATTTCAACCAACACAAGAGAGATTTGGAGGCTGGCACGACCGAAGCCGCACCTGGGCGTGCCGCCAACGCCTGGCTCGGATCTCACACTGTGATGGGAGTGCCATAAAGGCCACATTAAAAAGGAGCCATTGCAGCCTGACTCTCAGACCGCCTCCAGTAATGGAGGAGGTCCAAGGTACCCCGTCAGTTGGCAACCTTCCAAGCCACGGCTTTTAGCGTACCGTGATAGATTCAAGCGCGTCAGATTGTTTATAGTGAGGAGAAAGTGCGCTGAGTCGTCGACCTTACTCTCCCTTCCCACTCCCACACCCCAGCCGCTGTCCGAGCCGGTCAGCAGACTGAAGTGGGGAATGGACGCGGTGGCTGTCATGGTCGAATGACCATGAGTGCGCGCGCCACGGCACGACCTGGCCCCCATGCACACAACACCAGGATTTCACACAACGGGGGTTGAACGGCGTGTCTCTCACTTGCGTGAGAGTGCCGTGGAAGGTGCTGTTTCAGCCCGTTCCCAGCCTACCAGTCCGCCACTCCACACAACACACACACACACACAACGCGACGAACTGCGTGAACCGAGAGCAGGCGTCAATCAGCAACCTTCCTATCCACGACGCTTGACGTGTCGGGATAATCTCGGACTCAAGTCACCAGTGCAGCCGAAGCCGCATGGGGACCGAGTCGAGATGCGGACTTCCCACTCGCGTGGGAGGTGGCAGTTGGGTGCATGAGGTGTGTGAGTGTTGATTTCTGGTGGGGTGATGGTGGTGGTGGAGGAGGTAGGGAGTGAGTGAATGTGTGGTGTGGCCGGCGGTTGTCTACCGCAGGTCGTCGTGGATGCGCATGTGGCCGAATAGGCCCATGCGATGCCTGAAAGTGCGAGGACAGTGTGGGCAGTTGAGACGAGCTTGGTGGGTATAGGTGGGTGCTCCAGGCACTGGTTCGCCAGGCTCTGTGCGATGGATTCGCAAGTGACCGACCAGACCGATGTGTGAGGTGAAGGTACGGTCGCAGTGAGGGCAGGTGCAGTCCTGATCCTTATCCCTGGAGTCGGGGGAGGTGGTGGTAGTGTCGGTTGCTGTGCGTGAGACAGTCGCCTGAGCGGCCGCCGTTGGAGCAGTGGGCGAAGAGGAGGAGGAGGAGGATGATGGAAGTGGTGGGTCAGAAGAATTGTCAGGGTTAGTTGGCGGCGGAGAGGAGGAGGAAGAAGCAGGCGGGGGGACGATGGTTGGTGCCGTTCGAGAGGCGCAGTTAATCCGAAGATGTCCAACAAGTCCGATTCGAGCCCGGAATGTCCGTTGACATCGAGGACACGTTGGAAGCGGTTGTGCGGCGGCGTTGCTTACTGGGGGAAGTTGTGATTTGCGGACTTCACGTTTCGCTTTGGCAGCAGCGGTGTGGTTGGCTTCGTAGATCGCAGCGCCTGTCTTCACTGTCCTCCTCCAGGTCGGTCGATCGAGTGCGAGCTCCTTCCAGTTGGTGGGGTTGATTTGCAGGCATTTCAGGGAGGACTTCAGGGTATCCTTGTTACGGCGAATCAGGCCTCCTAGACGGCAAGAACCCGTCGCGACGTCTCCGTAGAAGAGTCGTTTGGGTAGTCGCTCGTCGTCCATGCGCACCAGGTGGCCGCTCCAGCGCAGCTGAATTTGCCTCAGTATGGCGTAGATGCTGAGGATTCCCGTCCGTTCCAGCACATCAGTGTCGAGGATTCGATCCTGCCACTTTAGCATCCGGATGCGACGAAGACAACTGAGGTGGAAGTGGTTCAGACGACGTGCCTGCTTTGCGTACACCATCAAGGTCTCCGCTCCATACAGTAGTGTCGGCAGGATGACGGCCTTGTACATCTTCAGCTTCGTGCTCAGTTGGAGAGCATGACGATTCCAAACTGTGCTTTGGAGGCGACCGAAGGCTTGACTGGCTTTCGAGATCCTGTTGGCGACTTCGTCGTCGATCTTGGTGTTGCGGGAGAGAGTACTGCCCAGGTATGGGAAGTTCTCCACCACTTGCAGTTGGGTCCCATTCACGCTGATTTGCGGCGGCGCGTTGGGGGCTGTGGCCGAGTTGGGTGGCGGTTGGTGCATCACCACCGTCTTCTGTGTGTTGATGACCAGACCGAAGTTCTCGCAGGCGGCGGAGAACAGGTCCATGCTCCGTTACATCTCCTCTTCCAAGGTGGTGTTCAGGGCGCAGTCGTCGGCGAAGAGGAGTTCGTGAACGGTGGTTGTGGATACGCGCGATCTGAAGTGCATCCGCCGTTGATTCAGGAGGTGACCGTCCGTCCTGTAGGCGATACGGATCCCGGGGCGTTCGTCGTGGTACGCGTCCATCAGCATGGCAGAGAACATAAGACTGAAGAGGGTAGGCGCCAGTACGCAGCCCTGCTTCACTCCATTGGTCACTGCGAATGCCTCTGAGACAGCTCCGTTGTCCGTGACCCGCGCCATCATACCGTCGTGCAGCTGACGCACCATCTGAGTGAATCGCTCCGGACAGCCGAATTTCTGCATGATCTTCCACAGTCCTTTACGATTCACTGTGTCGATGGCTTTCGTCAGGTCCACGAAGGTAGAGTACAGGTGGGTCCGCATCTCCTGGCACTTCTCCTGAAGTTGGCGGGCGGCGAAGATCATATCCGTGGTCCCACGATGACGACGGAAGCCGCATTGGCTTTCCGGCAGAAGGCCCTGTTCCAGATGGTTATTGAGGCGGTTGAGGAAGATTCGTGCGAAGATCTTCCCGGCGATGTTCAGCAGGGAGATGCCGCGGTGATTGTCGCAGACTTGGCAATTCCCTTTGCGCTTGTAGAGATGCACGATGGTTGCGTCTTTGAAATCTTGCGGGACTTCACCTTGACGCCACATCTCTTGGAAGAGCGCAGTCAGGTGATCCATCAGTTGGGGACCTCCGTGCTTGCAGACCTCAGCAGGGATCGCGTCCGATCCGGGTGCTTTCCCACTGGAGAGCTGCTGCACGGCCCTGACGGTCTCCTGGAGAGATGGCGGGAGGTCGAGGACCACGTTGGTCTCCACTTGCGGCAAACGCTCGATGGCGGCGTCGGAGATGACGGAGGGGCGGTTGAGGACGCCTCGAAAATGCTCGGCCCATCGCTGCAGGATTTGCGTCTTCTCAGTCAGGAGAGTGTTGCCGTCGGCGCTGAGGATAGGAACGGTACCCTTCGTCGGCGGACCGTAGACAGCTTTGATCGCAGAGAAGAAGTTCTTCCATTCGTTGCGGTCCGCGTAGCCTTGGATCTCCTCAGCTTTGCGAGCAGTCCAGACGTCCTGCATCTCGCGCAGTCGTTGCTGAAGTTGGCGGCGACTGCGGTAGAAGGCAGCTTTGGTGGCATCAGTGGGGTGATCTACGTAGGCTTTGTGAAGGCGGTTCTTCTCAGCTAGCAGATTTCTGATGGCGGCGTCGTTGTCGTCGAACCAGTCCTGGTGTTGGCGAGTAGCGCGACCGAGGACGGCGAGGGCCGTCGACTGGACCGTGTCTCGCAGTTGACACCAGCGGTTCTCCACGGAGGCGTTCTCGGCAGCGGCGGCGGCGTCGTCGGCGGCGGCAGCGATAGGAAGGTTGTCTAACCTTTGAGCTAGCTCATTGCTGAAATGAAGATGGTGAGCGGGCAAAGACAACAAGGCAACATTCAGCTTACCTGGGGGTCGTTTACCTTGTGGTCTCCTGCGAGGCTGTAGGCGAATACGCATCTTCGAGATGACGAGGCGATGGTCGGTCCACCCGTCAACACCCGCGATCGCCTTCGTCACCAGCACGTCCCGCTGATCTCGCCTCCGGACGAGGACATAGTCCAGCAGGTGCCACTGACGCGACCGAGGATGCCTCCAGGTGGCCTTCTCTCGCTCCGACAGACAGAAAAACGTGTTCGTCAGGATGAGGCGGTGTTCTGCGCAGGTGCGGAGAAGCAGCAGACCATTGTCGTTTGAGCCGCGGAGACCGTGGGGACCCAGCACTCCTCTCCAGGCAGTATGGTCTGTGCCGACGCGGGCGTTGAAGTCGCCAAGGACAATCAACTTGTCCACCTTCGGCACAGTCGCCAAGAGGGCGTGCGGGTCCTCGTAGAATTTGTCTCTGACGGCGTCGGGGTTGGTCATCGTCGGAGCGTAGGTGCTGATGATTGTGGCGAATTTGCCCCTACCCCGCAGAGGCAGACGGAGGCTCATCAGGCGATCGTTGATGCCCTGCGGCAAACAGGGCAGTCGTCCCACGATGTCGTTCCGAATGGCGAAGGTGACGCCCGCGTCCCGTCGCTCTGCCCTGGGTCGACCGCTCCAGAAGAAGGTGTAGCCGGCACCCACCTTCTCCAGTTGGCCTTGTTCGGAGAATCGGGTCTCGCTGAGTGCGGCGATGTGCACCTTGTAGCACGCCAGTTCTCGTGCCACTAGCGCCGTCCTCCGCTCCGGTCGGTTGCTCCTCGGATTGTCTAAAAGGGAACGAACATTCCGGGCTGCCAGAGTGAGCGGGCTCACCCTGCCAGTCTGGTGACAACGAGTGGGGCGACGGGAAGGAGATGGAGAAGAGGGTGACGAAGGAGAAGAATAGGCAGAGGAAGAGGAAGAAGAGGTAGGATGAGGAGAATGAGTATGGTTGTTGTTGTTATTGGTATTGTCGTTGTTTCGCTTTTGATTGTTTTGACCATGATAAGACGTCTGCGACCCTGGCTAGCCTGGAGACGGCGTGGTACCCAGCAATGTTTAGGCCACCTTTTCAAGGCCCTTCCCCTCATGGGGGCTGGCCGTGCCGCCCCTGTATCGGGCTGCCATGTGCCGTTGTGGCACGGCCGAACTCCACTATGGGACCACGACTTCGGGTTGTAGTGGAGAGCGACTCGAATTCGCCGTAAGCGGCGGTCTCCGACGGCGTAGGTGGGCGCGTCAAGGCGATGTCGATGTGGAGATCCATCCCGTCACCGGCTGTCCAGCGGCGTGCAGAGACGAACCACGTCACGACGGTGCCGACGCAAGGTTCCATCCGACCTTCCATCCAGCGGAATCCGCAAACCCTGTGCACACGGCACAGCGCACAGGACCCACTCACCTGGTTTAGACCACCGGTCGAGACGGTTGCCCCGGGTGTGGCCGCTGAGCAGAGTCCAGCTGCGTGGAGCCACATGTGAGAGTTGAGTGCTAGCAAGTGGACGCTAGGCGCAGTCTCACCTGCAAGAAAGTGAGCGACCACCACGACCATTACGTGAACCCACCGCTGACACCCCTACACCCCAAACTGCGATATATAGTCCAGATGACGAACTGCCCTGGACGAAAACCAATCTAGCTTGGCCTTGAGGGTGTAATTGAGAGGTTTTTGGTCGTTGTGCATCGGAAAATCTCTGTCCTCTAAAAGGTGCCGAAAGTTACGTATGGGCAGGTAGGTGGCAAGAAGCTCGCGAGAAAAAGTACTGTAGCTAGTCTGCGTCGGTCGTAGCTCCTGTGGAAAGAAAACCAATGGCTGCAACTTATTATTCACCTGTTGATGCAAGATTGCGCCGACAGCACTGTTGGAAGCGTCAGTGGTCAAGATCAGCTGCGCATGAGGGTCGGAGCTGAGATGGTGAAGCAGAGTGGCACCAGCAAAGACTTTCTTAGTTGCTTCAAAAGCTTTATGGGCTGCTGGCGAAAGTTCAATAGGCTTTGCCTTCGACTTCAAAAGGTCAGTCAAGGGAACCGGGGTTGCTGCACGGTGGGGGAATAAAACGTCCATAATAGTTGAGAAGGCCTACGAAGCGCAGCAGCTGAGTGAGTGTCTTGGGGGCAGGGAAAGACAAGATTCTCAAAACCTTCTCTGATAGCGGTGTTATTCCATGCTTGTTGACGTGGTGACCAAGGAAATCTAGAGAAACGACGCCAAATATACATTTGTCGACGTTTAATTGCAGACCGCGTTGCTGAAAACGGCCGAATATCTGGCGTAAGTGCGAGGCATTTTCCTCTGCCGAAAAGCTTACGACGAGTATTTCGTCAATGAAGACATAAGTGAATGAGAGACCCCGCAAGACCTCGTCGATAAGGCGTTCGAAGGATTGGGTGGCGTTGTGCAAATTTAAACAGACCAAAAGGCGTTGTGGCGGCAGTCCTGGGAATGTGTTTTTCGGCGACCGGAATCTGGTGGTATGTTCTCACGAACTCTGTTTTGGAGAAAATAGTTTTTCCTGCCAGCGTTTGAGAGAAATCGTGGATATGGGGAATAAGATATCGGTCGGGAACAGTGGCTCTGTTGAGTGCGCGATAGTCGCCGCATGGTCTCTAAGCATCAGTCGATTTCTTGGGCGTCACGGGGAGTGGAGAAGCCCATGCGCTGGAGGAAGGGCGAATAATTCCTAAATTCATCATATGCCCAAATTCGTTCCTCGCTATCAGAAGTTCTTCGGAGAGAAGACGTTGAGGTTGAGCGTGAATAGGTTGCCCCGTGGTAAGGATGTGGTGTTTGACCATATGCTGAACCTCCCCGGTGAACTGACGAGGGAGGAGTAGTCCATCAAAATGTTAGCGAAGGCGAGCTTGGTAAGGTCAACTGGATGCTAACCGAGATTTAAGAAGCGGAAATACCAACGGGAAATAGTGTGGTTGCGGAATCGAAAAGTTTGCGATGCTGGAGGTCGATTGCAAGACCAAATTGTGTCAGGAATTCTGCCCCGATCATGGTAAATTTAACGTCGGCTTGCACAAAGACCCACTGGTAACGTCGCCGAAGGCCGATGTCAAGTGTGAGCGACCGTTGGCTGTAAGTGTTGATGGTGGTGCTGTTGGCAACCTGCAATGAAGACTGCGAAGGCTTGAGATGGTGTCGCCTAGGTGTAGGGATGACACTGATCTCGGCACCAGTATCGACAAGAAAACGGAGACCGCTCGGCCTGTCACTAATGAAAAGTGACTGGATCGTGACTGGCCAGCGACAGCTGTCGCCATTACTGGTGCGGTTGTTTGCCTCTGGCGACACCTGGAGGTATGTGCGGGGAGGAATGCAATTGAGTACTCTCGGACCGTAAATACGATTATACCAGCAAAGAGTTGAAGAGGGGTGTTCACGGGACTTAGAACGACGGCGTGAAGGTGATTTGTCTTTGGCC